ATTGTCTCCAATTCAATATGTTCTCCTTGAGTACAGATTGTGCCCCTGGCATCAATATGGGAAGAGCTCTGCTCTGTGCCTTAGGAATTCAGAGAATGAACAGCACTAACAAGTGACAAATCTGCTGACGCTGCAGCTCAAGACACACTCAGAACCCAGTCAGCACCTTCAAACTACAGCACTGCTGCTCTGCTGCTTCCAGCATGATGCTTCTGCCATGTTTCTAGGGCTGGCCTTTTCCAGGTGAAACAGGACTTCCAAATAGAGATCAGTCATTCTGAATTGTGGCTCCTAGCTCATGAGAATGACAACAATCCTGTTTAAACAAACATATTCTCCAAATGTTGAGCTGGAAGCAAGCGTGGGCCTTTTGGACATGGCTATGACATAATTAATAAAATAACTTTTTTTTCATAAAAAAAAGGTGACAAATCTTGTTTAAAGCCTTATCAGGGTAGGATGTTATGCACAACTCTTTCTATTTTTGTTCAAGGGTAACTTTTTTTAAAGGGTTTTAAGGTCTGCTTCTGTTTTTTTAATTACATCTTTAATGAGTGCTATAAAGAATACAAACAATTTGGCAAGATCAAAGAATCCCAGATGTTGCTATTGTAAAAAGCACAGCAACTGATCAAAGAGTACCCCAATGAATTCAAGTACAGAGTGGAGGCAAAATAAGAACAAGAAAAAAACACTCTTTTATTTTATGTTAGCTTTAGTGTACTTGAGAAATGGCAGAAAGTGATACAAGAACATAACAAAAGCTGCTGCATTCTGTCCATAAAAACTCAGAACTCAGCAGTATTTGGTTGTTTGACCCCAACAGCAGAGGTTGGATTCTGTAATGAAGCAATTGCTAACATTTTCCATTTGACAAAAAAAATCTGTAATATAAGCGATGTCACCTAACATGAAGAGGTTTTAATTAGTGAACATGACTATTCCTGAACTTAATTATCATCTAAAAATATTATGTACACAGGAAAAAATATATAGGGGTGTAAAGCTTAATTGAAAATCATAAAAATAGAACTTAATTTAAATTTTAAAGTAAGGCTGTTATTTCCTTGTCTTAAAAATGAACATTTTGATTCCATCAAAAATTGAAGTTGGCTATGTCATAACAGTCAAAGATGTGAATAAAGGTTTGCTTAGAATTTTCCATTAGTAATATCTTAGTAATATTTTCCATTAGTAATATCGTCTCACAAAAGAGAATCCCATGTCTTAAAATTAAATGTGTTGAGAAATACAGTTTTGCTGTTCAAAAAATATTTTCCTAAGATTTTGCATCTGGTGTATTTCAAGATAAGTCATTTGGATGGGCATCTCTGTGGAAATATGTATCATATATGCTGAACATTTTAACACCCCACCAAACCTCCCCCAGATGAATGGCCAAGTCTGTTTTCTTAGATTTTTTTTTTCAGGGAGTGCACCCACAAGAAAAGAGAAAATTCAGGTTTATAAGGGCTACTAGGCAAGAGAAAGGCTGATTTGAGATGTAGTCGAAAATGTGTTGTGAAATGCCTTTCAATATTAATTTCTAACCTTTTTTTTAACTCCTTAAGATATTTTTATAATGCTATCCTCTTTAGCAGTACAAATTTTTGAATTGTTTTATTATTTTACACATTAAAAAAAAACAAAAACAAAAACAAAAACAAAAAAAAACAAAAACCCCAAACCAAACCTACCAACCAATCGAAGAAACAACTAAACCCCAAACCCCACGTGATGGAAAGGCAATGACTCACAACCTCCCACCACAGACCAATGCCAATCTCCTGGGAAAACAACACTTGGAAAAACTACTTTTGGGAAAACTACACTTCCCTCCACCCAGCTCTGATGTGATACCACATGGTTTGGGACATCCCTTTGTTCTGCTGGGTTCAGCTTTCCCAGCTGTGCCCCCTCCCAGCTTTTTGTGTGCCCCAAGTTTACTCTCATGCAGGGCAGTGTGAGAAATAGAAAAGACCTTGACACTATTCCACAGTTGTTGACCATGAGCTAAAACATCCCAGTGTTATCAGCACTGCTTTGGTCACAAATCTAAAATACAGCATCATGCAGGGTGCTATGAAGAAAATTAGCTCCATGCCAACCAGACTAAATAAAGAAATACTACTGAAGATTCTCTGTCAATCAGCCTCTGCCTAAAGGTGGATCTTTTTTTTCTACAGAATTCAGGAGACTCTTTATAAATATATGCCTTCACAGGACTAAGTCTTTCAAAGAAACATAAATAAAGTAGATGCTTTCCCCCCACCCTCCAAAATGGTACCTTGTAGATAAATTTTTTTGCCTTGAAGACAAGGGATTAAATTTGGATTACCATGGATAGCATCATGATATGCTAGAGAGATGATGAATTCTGAGGAACTGCTAACAAATGATATCATTAAATTACAATTGCAGCTACCAAAGAACAGCAAATGAGTGTATGATCATATTTTCCATGTCAACAAATAATTAGAGGTGATTTGGACATGCCAAAAGAATATTCAAGGACATCAAACACAGAAAAGATAATTAATGACAATTATGAGAATAATATTATTGGGAGTAGGAAGGCAAAGTTTGTGACAAGCAGACTTCCAAAACATCCAGAACAGCAGGTTCAGAAAAGCAAACTGGCAAGGTGTGCAACACATTTAGTAATGGAAAAGGTGATGAAGAGCCAGAAGAAGCAGTTAATTGCATAATACTTTAATTTTTTTAAACAGTAAAAGAGTGTTATATTAAGAATCAGAGGAAGAGCAGACTAATTATTAGGGAAAATTTCAAAGCAAGGTAAAAAAAGCGTCATAGCTTGAACCAGAGAGGGGAAAAGACAGAGGTAGGCAGGATCACAGGTCCAACTGAAGGTAAGAGGACTATTTCTTTGGGAATGTCTCAAAATAAATGTACATATGAAAAAAAAGGGTGATAGAAAACATGAAAAATGATCTTCCAGCTGTTAATCTGGATTTTCTTTATATATGTGGCTGTCCTAAGTTTTGTCAGGGATACAAGCAAGCTCAATGATGGATGACAATTGATGTTTCTCAGCATGGTTTTCACACTGTTCTTGATTGTACCTGCAAGTGTAATACACAGTTTTCTCTATTTTTTTAAGCATACAGATAAGCATCATGTAGTTTCAAGAGTAATAAACTGTCTCATTTATCTATGTATTTCAGTATTCTTTAAAGAATGATCTAAAGACACCAAGATCACATCCCTCTACTTTTACTTTTATGAAAGATGTCTCATACCCATCATTCCAGGCAGGAAAATGTACAAAAGTCCTTGGACAAAGCATAAATCCCTTCTGAAAACTTTTCATCCAGTCAGTACTTTATACTTATACTCTTCATTACGTCCCAACATCTGACCCCATTCCCCTCTCTGAGTAACTACTTCCATAAGTAATTCCATTCTTTTGGCTGGAATCCCATTTAACTCTGCTCCAGACTCACTTGTGAGCCTAACTGCTTACAGCTGATAGCAGAGGATTTAGCATTTCAGCTCATATGTCAAATAGAGTTTGACTGCTTAACTTTTTTCTTCTTACACACTGTGAAATAACTCCCAGAAGAAAAAGTTTCACATGGTAAAGACTTTGGGCAGGAAAAGAAGTCAAGAACTCACTGTCAATTAAATAAATCAAGCACTTTCAAAAGCAGTTTTTGTTTTAAAGATAAATTTGGCAATGATGAAATTGACCTTCAATAATTCAGTAAAATTGTGTTCAAGCAGCTTAGCTAGGAAAATAGCAATAGACTGGCAAACTGATTCTGACCTGTAAGGAAAATCAGAGGAAAAGGAACTGTGAAAGTCTTGGGTGAAATGCCATAGAAGACCAGCTTGGAAGGTACATCAGGGATCATCTGCTCCAACCTTTCCTGGCAAAAGAATTGTCTAGACAACATGATGCAGCAATTTGTACAACTGAATGTTAAAACTGTTCAACACTGGGGAATCTGCCACTTCCCTGGGCAGACAATTCCAATGGCTGATTGTTCTCATTGTGAAAAAGTGTTCTTCTGTGTCTAATCTGAATGTCCCCAGGATTAACTTGTACTCTTTGTCTTACCTGTGGGACTCCTTGTAAGAAGTCTATTTACTCATTCTGAAATGTCCATTTACTAATTTTTGATTAACTAAAGCTAGAAAAACAAACTTCTATCTAAATGAAGTCTTGAGAAAAATTATCTTTAAAGGGAAAATCTGGAAAAGTAAATAAAAGAAAGAAAATTAGTTGAAAAAAAGAACAAGAAAAAAATGCATGTTTTAATACTTATCTGGAAATAAAGTATGATAGTCTAAATTGTAGCTTTAGTACCTAAAAGTCCTAGTTTTCCTTCCCAGGATGTTATCAGATGCACTATGGCTCTAAGTCTTCCCTGATAGCTCAGGAGAGGATGTCCAGTTGTGACACCAGCAATATATTTAGGATTCATTCATCCCTAACAGATGCCAATTGATTAAATCACCCTTATGCTGTTAACACCACTGAACCCGAGGACTACTTTTATCTGCCAAGAAAGTCCCATACAAAAGAGTGAAAACCATTTCTTTAGCTTCATATAACTTCACAGGATGCTCTCAGGCAATATCTACAAATCCAGCCCTGCCCTTCTGCTCCTAAGTTACTGGTGATGGAAGAAAGCTGATGGTGCTTTAGGAAGAGAAAAAGACTCTTCTTATCAGTAGTTACAGCCCTGACCCATGCAGCTGCCACTGTTAACATTTATCCTCCAGGGACTGTTGGGAAAATGCTGCCTTTCCCAGCTGTCTTTTTTCCACAGAAGCTTCCCACCTCCCAAGCAGATGGTAAGGGATCTTATTTGCCCTGACTCCCGAAAAAAAAAAAAAACAAAACCAAACAATGCATGATAGTACCTGGGCCCCCAGCTGGACTGGAAATTTGTTACCAGGGAGGAAATAGAACCTTTTGGGTTAAAACCACAATTTGTCTGAGTTGAATAAATCACAGCTCTTTCATGTTTCAGCTACTGACACAGAGTTCCCTGACAAGAAAACCAGGAGCGGATTTTACCAGGTAAGCAGGCTAGAAAGGTGTAATGAAGACTATACATAATTATGCCTTAGAAATTTTCCTATTTTGCAGGTATATTACTTATTTTTTCAGTGATATGTATGCTTCATATCATCTATCAGGTTGGTAATTCTCATGATAGACTTTTCTATTGTTTTTCCCGTTCAGCCTAAAAAGTTTCCATAAACAACTTTGTTCAGCATCTCAAACTTGGACAGATGTGCTCCTGAAGATGTTGATTAGAATATATTATAGCCATTAATATTGAAGCTTCTTAATGTTCCTTTTATGGTACTTACTTTTGCTTTCTGAGGAAAAAAGTAAGCAAGATTTAATAAGACTGAAGACAATATTAATAGAAATAATAAAAAGTAATCCTCTAGTATATTATGTCTATTAATTATCACAAAATATTATAGATTATACGATTTTTCTCCATATGAAAAATGTTTATTGGACATTTATTTTACAAGCACATAATCATTTTTAGTAGTTAACAACCTTACATTTGAAAAAAAAAACCCAACCCACAACAAAATCAAAATGTATCATGTTTGTGGGCATAAACCAGGCTCACAGAAGGCAAAAGAACTATGAGTACATTAAAAAATAGTTCCCTTTGGCACTCTTGGCATTTGGCATTAGTCTGAAATATATATAGTGGCTTCTCTGAGAGCCAAATTTAAACCTGATGAGCCACTGATGAGGTAACTCTTATGTCCCATCTCTGTTTCCCTTCAGTGATGCTTCAAATGGGAAATGCAGCATTTTAGGGAGTTTTTTGCTCCAAATGAGATGTTGACTGTCCAGTGGGAAGATAAAGAATCTATTACATGTACTTTAAAAGCCATAAAAGATAACCTTAATTTCCTAGCTTACATTTATTTGCACTCACACAATGTCTCCCATTTCAAGGCTGAGTATGAGCAATTGCCAAGTACATAATTGAAGGAGAGTAATGCAATGAATAAGTGTCAGGTTTAGAACTAGTGAATTCACAGAGAATATACTGTCTACAGGGAAAAAAAAAAGGAAAAAAAAAAGTTGAATCCTAAAGCATGGTGCTGTCAAATGAAGCTGAGGATTTAAAATTACCAGTAATTTTCTTAGTGTCTTCAAAAGTTGCCACGAACTTTCAACAAGGTGGCACAAAAATGCCATATTTCAAGTGAAAGCTTGCAACTGTTATGCTGAACTTTTTAAAGTGTTGCTATTTCATCAAACATTGATTGACTGGAAACTGCAGCCTTCTCATTTAATTCATGTGCAAAATACAGCACGGCAAAGAAACATAACCTTTAGCAAACCACCTTTAGTTTATATCTCTGCAGCTCTTCTAATAGTGAAGTAAAATTCAGGAGGGATTATTTTCTTTGGAATTGGTTAAGCCAAGATCTGCTTTCGATTCAGGTCTTAGATGCCACAAGCTGAAATCCATCAGATCCATGAGGAGTTCTGGGCCTCTGAATTCACATTACGAATCTGGAGACATCACTAGCTATACTACATTTGGTCATCAATAAACTGCAAAGAATAGGAAAGGAAAATTACTTGGGTTTAAAGTATGTTTTCTAGACTCAAAAATTCTCTTTGTACATAATGGGCCCTACTTTTTATGTTTAATTATGTAATACCAAGTATTCCTTCAGAATTGGCCTTTAGTTACTATTTGGATCATTTAATGAAGAGTCCTCAAATTCTCAACAATAATGACTACTGGTAATAATTGTTAGCAGACTTTTCTGACTGTGTGGCTTGAAACCAGGAGCTTCTATAATCTGTTTCATTCCCTGAACTCTCATCTTTATCCTCTGAAGAAAACTTCTGAAAAGCAGAAGCTATTAAATATTGAATGCTACTAAACTATAATAGAACACATCTCTGGGTAGGTGCCTTGCATCCTTCAAAAATATTCTAACTCAATTAATCCAAAATGAGGACAAGTTCTGTGAAACTAGTATTGCAATAAATTTGGGGAAGGTCATAACCACAGTGTAATAACAAATTGAAGGAAAAGAAAGAGAATATCTGTTTCCTTAATGTTTTAACTGAAGGGTTATATCTACAGAATAAATGCATAATTGGATCTCAGGCTCTGTTTTATACCTCCTCAAGCAACAAAAAGCTCAAAATAAAAATAGAAGAAGTCTTGAATTGACATACTTAAAACAGTAGGATTCTTTTTACAACTCCTCTTACATCAGTTGCGGGAATTTTTTCCTCATCTCTCTCCTTTTTTCACATTCATCAAGGTCATTGTGAGTTTTTTTCCCTTTGATTTTAATTTGATGCCAGTACATTCATTTTTATGTAAATTTCAGGAGAGGTGATTGTATCTTCATTTCTCCAACCATCTGGCACACTGGGAAATACAGCAGCATTCAACCCTAATGACATAAATAAGAAAAAATATAGGGAATTTCTGAACTGACTTTAAAAACCCAAAAAACCAACCAATGACCAAAGAGATGTGATTATTAACAACAGAAGCTTGTAAATATTTTTATCAATATTTAGTGTGAGTTCCTGTAATTAAAGATTTCTGAAACACTTCCTTATTGAGTAAGCGATCTCTTTCATGCCACCAGTGTTTATTCTGTTGATAAATTAATAAGCAGAACTATCTGCTTCAGCTTTGATGGAACTAGATGCATCATTGTTCACAACTGAAAACCAAAACACAAATATAAAAAGGTGTGATAAGCTAAAAAATTTGCCACAATCAAAAAAAAAAAAAAAAACAACAAACAACCAAACCTGTTTGGTTTTATGTTATTTTACATATTTAAAAGAAAGAACTGTAGCAACCAAGAAATTACATTAGTTTTCAGCAAATAAAATAAATGAGGCTAAAAAAGAATTCACTGTCAGGAATATATTTGTTCTTCAAGTTGATCTATGACGTTGCTTTAAACAGTTATTTAAAAACTTTTGCATAAAGTTTTCCAATAGTAGACTCCCATAACTACATCACCTTTTATATTCCTTGTTATTTGGAAATTATAATTCCATATTAATAAAAATATTTAAATGAGTATACAAGATGTTTTGTTTTCCTAAGTGAGCCAATGTTAAATTATTTAGAACAGGAGGAACTGTGGTACCACAGATTCCCTTGAAAATCTCAACTAGCTTCACTTTCCACTTGGGTAGACCAGCATCATTTCCAGGCTCTGGTGGTATTATTCTGACCTCTCATAATAATGGCATGCATCTAATGCTAATAAATGCAATGCTAATATTATTTTTTGTGGGCTAGACTCAGTGAAAATGCTTTTGGAAAAACAGTGCTGTACAGAATACAAACACACACACACATAAAGCTTGGAAATTTCCTTTCTGAAGCCATTAGTGAAGCTATTGTTCTGTAATCAATTAGAGCTTCTCAATTGTTATGGAACTTTAAAGTGTCTAGAGAGAAAATAATTTTCTTACCTGGAACTGACTCTGCTCCATTCAAAATCATAAGGTATTCGACTATAAAGTGAAAACCTGGTTTAACCCAAGACTAAACTTCCTTCAATAAGAGCATGTACAGATTTTGATTTGGAGAAAGTTTATTTTCCTCAAAAGAGCTTTTATGGGGCTGTGTTTTCGCTTTGGGCTGAGAATGATGTTGATATACAAAGATATTTTTCTTCTTGCTCTTTTAGGTATTGACTTGCAGAGAGTCAAAGCCTTTTCTGCTTCTCACCCCACCTCAGCAGCAGTGAGCAGGCTTGGGAAGTTGGGAGGGTTCCCAGCTGGGAGAGCTGTTCCCAGCTGGCCACAGGGATATTCCAGAGCACATGGGGCCATAACTAGTCTACAGTCATGAATAGTCTGGTGGGGGAGAAAAAGGAAGGGGGGAATATTCAGAGTTATGGCATTTGTCTTCCCAAGTCACCATTGTGCATAATTGAGCCCTGCTGTCCTGGAGGTGGCTGAACACCTGCCTGCCTATGGGAAGTGAGGCATGAGTTATTGGTGTTGTTTTGTTGTGTTGGCATGCATGACTTTTTGTTGTATTTTTTTTTTTTTTTTTTTTTTTTTTTTTTTTTTTTTTTTTTTTTTTTTTTTTTTTTTTTTTTTTTTTTTTTTTTACCTGTCTTTATTTCAACCCATGCATTTCCTTTTACTCTTTAAATTCTCCCTCTCATCCCACTGGGGGAGGATGAGTGAGTGGCTACATGACTTAGTTGCCATCTGAGGTTAAACCACAACAGAGTAACATACTGAGTTGTTACACAGGAATATTTTCCATTTCTCCTCTGAGAAAATGGCTTTGTCTCATATTGGCTTTCTTCCTAGAAAAATAATTTAAATTCATCTATTAAACCAAGGCTTTAAAAAAAATCCTTAAAATAAAATTTTAAATCTACCCAATTTTCTCATTAGAAATATATGAAAGGTCTAACAGGGTAAGTGGAAAATATAGGGCACAAGAAACAAGATATGGTAATTGAGACCATCTGTCCCACTAAATATAAAGCACATTTGCTTGTGGTTTGCTGTCTCTCTGATCTTATTGCAGTTCCAAAATCTGACCATTCAAGTAGAGGAAAAAATTTCTGATGCATGACAAGAAAAATTTAGATGTACTCATTTCAAGAGGAGTAGAACATGTTCTTAAGTTCTTTCAAGCATGTGGAGAAGAGCAGAGACAAGTACAAGAATAGATGATGCTTTTTAGCTGTCACTGATGTTTGACTATCCTGCCACCTTACAAAGCAGCAGCTGACCTGACAGTAATTTGTGTGACAACCTAACCTAGGGACTAGAATTATTTTCTTGAAGCATTCATTACTGTTATTGTTGCTTTTATATCCATTAAAAGAACTGTAGGTCTTACAATCACAGCTGACCACTATTAGCTCCAGAGGACTGATACAGCAAGGATTCAAGACAAATGTTGTGAATGTTTTCCCCTTCCTTGACATTTAATTTATTATATTTTTTTGGTGATATGATCAATAACAACTATACAAATCACAACATTCAAACACTATGTACACATTACAATCTGTGTGTTTCACTGATAAGATATGGTAACATTCCCAGTACCACCATTCAGAGTTGCTGCTTTGTAAGTCTGAATATAAGCACAAAAATCCACACTGGAGTTATTGTTCCTGACAGTGGGTATGGGTTTAATGCTGGTGTGTTTGTTGTTGGTTTGCTTTGGTTATTTCCATCTGTTCCTACTTTCAGGAAAAGAAGGAAACAGAAAGGGTTATTCAAGTAGAATGTGTATAAATGCTTACAGTATATAAATGCTTACATATATAAATGCTTACAATATATATATATATTATATATATATATTGCATTACTATATATCATGTGTAGATATTAAAGCATAGAATAATTCAGAGTTTAGAAGAACTCTAAGATCATCAAGTTGGACCATTAAACCAGCACCAACATATTCACCACTAAACCATATCCCCAACGTCACATCCACTCTCCAGGGATGGGCATTCCACCACTCCTCTGGGCAGCCCCAATGCCTGAAATAACTCACTAATGTATAGATACTATATATGTAATGTTTATTTACTCCATATACTGTATGTATAGGTACAGACCACATGGATATTGCACTACAGATGTGTTCTGCTCAGAGCACAATATGTGCAGTATGCACCTGTACATACAATTGTTACAGACACATCTGCTGTGGCCCATCCCTGCAGTACTAACCTTGACTACATGATAGTGCACAAGAGTCTTAATTGCTTTTCTGTGAGAAAACATGATTTAGATGCAATATATGCACAATATCTACCTGACTATATTATCAAAAACTTAATAGAAATGTTCTGCAGCCTTGAGTTGCCAACAAATACGTTACAGTTTAAAAAAATAATTTTATTTTCTGAAAATCATCGTGAGTTCTCAGCAGATCTATGAAAGTCAGTTTTAAGGCTTCTGAGGTAAGAAGGAACACTTTTATCCAGAAACATTTTGTGCTATGACAGTTCAGTGAACAGCTTAGTGTTCTGCCAGCCATTTGGGAAGTTTCTTTTGCAGTGGAACACAGAAGGTCTTGAAAAGCAAAAGAAATATTAACTTAATGGAAACTGGGACTTCCAAAGCTAGCAAATATGCATCTGCATTTCTTGTTTGAGCTGCACTGGGTTGATGAAGTCAAACACTAAAAGTTTTGTTGTGCTGTATGGGAATCAAAGAATGCTGGTGGGAAAAAAAACCAAAAAAAACAACAAATCAAAACAAAAACCAGGAACCAAAAGCTAGATCAGTCTTAAGACTGAAAGTGTGCTGTGCTCTAAACTCAGACAAATGATTTGTGGTACCAATCCTGATCCCAAACTGCTGCTAAGGAATCAGGGCCTACTGGCCTAACTACAAAGAGAATGAACCAAAGCACTGTTTTTAAACTAAGTCTTCAAACCTTGTTGAGCAACAGTTTTTCTCTGAAAAAAACAAT